TATTCTGTGAAGCGCTTTGGGACGTCTAGAAGACGTGAAAAGCGTTATATCAAATGCAAGGATTATTATTATTACAATTATTATTCCTGAATATGATTGGTCATTTAACTTTGTGGCTTTTTGTGGGACATTTCATGTGCACATTAACCTCGGATGTCACCTACAAATACACAGTCATTACACTTCACAGTGCAACTTGTGAAGCGCTTTGAGGTGTCTTCGCAATGTGACAAGGTGCTACATCGAATGCAAGGATTATTATTAAATGATTTTACGGCTCTATGTTTCAGTGATGTAAAAAAATTAACTCAACTAGTAAGGCAGCTCTATTATTTGCATCAGATTTAGAGCTTAAGGTTTTTGCAGTCATATCTAAACTTTAACATCCAATGACATGCGGGGGAATTCCAACCACCGGCATCAATGAAACAATTATGAGATTATCAATTAATCCTATCGGAAAAAAAAACCCACAAGAAATAGATAAAAGGCAATTGATGGAAATCAAACTGCTGGATTTCCATTCACAGTTTCAATAACGATGACTGCAGAAGTTACCATATATTTACCAGTTAGCCAAAGCCCTCTGTGTTCAGCTAACGTGCTGCCCTGTTGCTGAATAAGCACAAAAAAAGGCTCTGCAATTCGCTTTATGAATCTGCTGTATGAATTTTTACCAGGCACCCGTTTAAGACTCATATATTCAAAATGGTTCGAATTTCGGCTTTTATTTCAATTCGCAAGATATTGAAAATGCAATGCTTCCATTTGGTCTCCGTGATGCATAGTGGTGGGTACAGGATGTTCAGTAACAGGCATTATTGATAAATTGGTGCAGAACTTTGCATCCAGTCAATTATATCCAGACACAGAGAACAGCAGAAATGTCAAAGAAAAATAGCATTAGTGATTACATTTCTACCGCATTGACTAGGTCATCAGCACAAGAACCAATCTCAAATTGATTTCACCAGCCATGCAAAAACCCAAACAAAACTTTTCAAAGGGAAACAAAAGTTTCGCAGTTTCTCGTTTAGCAGGCTCACAATCTTGGAAATCTGCTAAGTTCAAGGTAGCAGCAAATAACCTTCAAGTCCCACTTAATGCGTGATTTATGTGTGGGTGTTTCTACGCTGGGTTAGCGTAGAAGAGTACGGCTGTGCTGTGTCGTGCTGATTGTGATAGAGTATTCAGAGAGCGGATCAATTCACCTTATGTAAACACACTGCCTGATCTTTTGCCTCCATCTATCACTGGGATCTTGATCAAAACCAGTTCCATTCTATGGCTACACTCTGGTGACAGATAGTACATTAGAATTTGTTCCCCACATAAACATTTTCCTTAACTGCGTTTATGCTTGCGCCCACATCCAAACATTTATGTTTAATAACCACTTGATCATTACTTAGCCTCGGTTAAATATCTTTCAAAGCAAATGTGCATTCATTTACAGGAAGTGGCGAGTTCAACTAGTGATGGTTCGTTAGGTTTCTTGAGGGGGAAATCCAGGCTGTCGGTAGAAGCACTATATACATTCCACTGACCACTGTTATTCGTTTTGAAGCTGGATTACCCAAACTCTTGTCCTCCATTATACTGCATCTGAAAAGTCTCCTCTATTGGATTTTCTGAGACTTTTCATTCAGTCAAGAGAGCACCAGTGGATACAATGGGATATGAAGTGTACTTCTGCTTTGAGTAGAATAAGAGAGAATGGCAATTTCTTCAGCTACACAAATTATAATCATGCAACAACCATGTGGTTTTTCAGGTGATCACACTGCTATTCAAACAAACAAGGATTTGGGTCCTAACGCAGAAAACTCCTTGCATTGGAACAAAAAGAGCTTTAAGGGAAAGATTGGTCACTCAATCCACAATCCACGACTGTTTGTGGGAATCTGCTGTGTGCAATTGGCTGCCGTGTTTCGCCCACAAAGCCTACACTTTACAGTATATTCTGTGAAGCGTTTTGAGACGTCTCGAAGACATACTAAGGCGCTATATCAAATGCAAGGATGATTATTATTATTAGAGCTCTTGGCTAGATGCACCTAGCCATATCACTGTCACATATACACACACACACTTACAATCGCTTACTTACTTTGCCTGGAATAACAACAAGATTACATTTATATAGCGCCTTTCACGTGAATTAAGGTGATTCCTGCCTTACAGTAAAGCATGCTAAACAAGACTGCACTCATCTGCTGAATTTTCAGAAAAGACACTGCATCAAAACACAATAAAAATTAAATGAGCTATTTTATAGCATATGCCGGGGCAAAGAATTTATAAAGGCCACATTTTCTTTTCCCTACTTTCCCACCTCCCTTCACTTTCGAAAATATACCACTTGCTGCCCATTTGGTGGCAAAAACTAAATGCATCCCAGAAGAATAGACCGTTTGGGTAAATCGAAGGCACAGCATTTTATTATTGACAGCACTAAAACGACCTGCCAACTCCAGGAAATAGAAGTATTTGAAATTATTTAAGGCATCATAAAACACTATTCAGTACTTGAATTGTCAATAGTAGACATTATAAATCCTGCCTAATAAAATGCAATTCAAATGTACTACTGGACGTGTACTGTTTAATAACTTTTGCGCTTCCTAATATCTTCGTAGGAATTGAATCGAAGTGAAAACTCCATTTACGCATTCTTCAGAATCATCTTGACAAGCCAGAGTGAAACCGTTCTCTTTTTTATATAACCTCAAACAACGAGACAACATGAAAGGGTTGTTAAGAAATAACAGATGCAGCTAATAGCTGTGCCCTTTTCTTTATGATGAGCGTACAGATTTGAGTGCCGGGTAATAGAAATGGCTGAGAAACACCAAACTCAGCAGCAAGTTTTAATTTAATATTTCCTCTACCGAGGTACATTCTGAAGCCAATTGTTTTGTTTAGCTCCAGTTATTTGAGACCATTACAGACACTGATACAGAAACGGATGAGTCAGTTCGGCAATGAGACCTTTCAGACCTTACAAATGTAAAGAGATGAGTTAGTAAATAATAAATAGAGGACCCTCTGTACATTTTTTTTTACTTTCAATGTCCTCCATTCCTCTCCTGAGATGTTCAGCAACACAGATGACTGCCTGTCCCCTCCCCATGAACCAAATGGGAACCTCTAACTTCTTCACAGAGTGGAGCGGAGTGAGTATGCATTTTGTTGGTGAACCCGACAGCCAATTTGTTCCCAGCAATAATTATCCTTGCATTTGATGTAGCGCCTTACCATGTCTTCAAAACATCTCAAAGCTCTTCACAGAATACAATGGAAAGTGAATTGACTGTATTTTGTGGGCGAAACGCGGCAGCCAATTGCTCACAGCAAGTGTCCCACAAACAGTCATGGATTGAAGTGAATTTATTATTGTTATTATTATTTTCAAGGAATTATTACCTCCAGAAAAGCGATCCGCCAATCGACTAACAAGCAGGTTCCTACTTACTGCTAGGTAAACAGAGGCGTGTGGAGTAAGGAAACTTGCCCAACATTTCGCTGTGCTGGGAATCGATCCAGGGTCTCTCACTGGCGAGGCGAGTACGCTGAACACTGAGCTACAGCAGCAATTAAGTGAATACCAATTTTATGTGGGAGATTGTTGGCCAGGACACCAGAAGAAACTCTCTTCCCTTTTCAAATAGTGCCACGGCATCTTTAACATCTACCGTGACAAGACCAAGGCGGGGGTAGAAACTATGAACCCATTACATTTTGTAACCTTCAAAATGATGGCAGCTCAACTCATGCCCTCAATCCATTGGGTTTTTCTGCTTTTCTCGGCAGCAACGTTAAAGTCAGTTAAAGAGATTTGACAAATTAGACCACTTCAGCACTTCTTAAAAGAACTTGTGGGAGATTGGAGGGGGTTAATTGCTATGCCAAAAGTCCGCTACAGTTTCCATTCTATACCTTTGTCACAAAACTCACCAAATATAAAACAGGCAAGTTGCAAACCTGGCTTCAACCTGTAATACCCAGACTATTCAATTCACAGCCTGAGGCTACAAAGCATTACAAGTTTTCAACTCAACCAGAGAACAACATATTGCGTCATCATAGTTATTCAACTGAAAAAAAACACTCAACTAACTGATGGGTTTTTTCGTGCGACTAGAGATTTGATGCTGACTTCAATAAAGCACAATAGAAACCTCCTCCCTAAACACCCGCACACACACAAATCTGTAGAGCCCGAAAGAAATGAAACAACGTTTTTTCACTGAGAACGAAATTTCGTTCTTGAAATATAATTTTCAAGCTGTTGGATTTTTTTTCTTTAAAAAAGACATAAATCCGAACATTTTTTTTTGCAACCGGGATTAAACTTCACATTCCTAGTAGCAAAAAATAAAAGTTTACAATGGTTTAGCGACCGAGAAAATGTTCCTCTGGTTTTCTTTCCGATCAAATAGCCTCCTGAATGACGAATCACATGTGCTCGTATGAATTAACTCAAAGTTAAAATAAAGGACATTAACAACAACAACCATATGACATGTGTAAAGCGCCTTTCACGTCGGGCAGACATCCGAAGGCGCTGGACAGACAGAGTTTCGGACCCGAGCTGGGGATCGGGGCGGGTCCAGGGCAGGTGGGGGGTTAGTGGGGAGATCGAAAGCATGGTCAAAGAGGAGGATCTTGAGATGGGGCTTGTAGGTGGTAAGGGAAGGGGTGAGGTGGAGGGACTGCGGGATAGAGTTTCAGAGGGTGGGGGCAGAGTGGCAGAAGGCCGGCCCGCCAATAGTCGGGCGAGCGAGACGGGGGTGGTGAAGCATGCCGGGGCCTGCAGAGCGGAGGGAGCAAACAGGGTGGTAGGGGGTTAGGAGGTCGGGGTTAAACACATGCTAGTCATATTTTTGGGAGGTCAGCCGGGCATCTGACACATCTATATCATATTTTAAAGCGTTATCTATCAAAGGGTTGAGTTGCAATTGGTCATTGTTATACACTAACCATGTACACGTACTTACGTTGACATTTGCCACCATTGGTAGGATCTCCGTAGTATCCCTGCATGCAGGCTTCACACTGTCTCCCCACAGTGAGGTTTCTGCATTGCTCACAAACACTGCCGTTCACGCACGTGCTGTGTCCATTACACTGACACCCTGAAAAAAATAATAATAAAATGTATACCACAAAATAAAATCAATTGCAAATAATCTCTCTTTTTTCTGAAAAAAAACACACAAATTCACACAGACTCAAACAATAAATACCAACTTAATATTCTCAGAGCAAAAGGTTTATAAGCGATTACACAAACGGGGTTCGGATGGAAAAAAGATCATCTGATCATATCCAATCAAGAATCTCAACCTACCCTCCCTCCTAGCAAGCGGTTTCTTCAACGTGTCGTGATAAGAAGAGAGAGAGAGACGAGGAACTTCAAGATGAAACTGGAGAACATTATTCAACTTCACTGAGGGCACAGAGTCATATTGAACATCCTTGCACACTTGCCTTGCAAGAATCACAGAAATTGACAGCACTCAAGAGGAAGATCATTGTGTCTTGTCCTGGTTTTATTGAAGAACAATCCTTTTGGTCCCATTTACTTGCCTGTTCCCCCAGTAGTTTGCTCCTTGTTAAGATATCTATCTTGTTCTCTCGAGGTAAAACAGGAAAAGACTTTTTGTGATTCCGCACCTGTGGAAAACTTCGGGGGTGAAATCCACATGATTTTCGGAGTAAATAAAAACTAAGTACAATCGCTGGAGTCCTCTGTTTAGGAAGGCTATGGAAAACCTCCAGCGATATCAGTGGAGGATTGCAGCGATGCAAGATAAAACCTTGTTACCTGTCTGAGGTCTTTTGACATTTCAGAGGGCATTTGACTATACGTCGACAAAAATAAATTGCAGGGAAAGATTCCCATGACATCCAATTCAAACCATGCTGCAATTCAGTGCAGTTTTTAAGTGGAACAATAGAGGAGCTGACAGAAGCTTGTCCCTGGGACCACGGATTGCCGCACATGAGTGCATACCGATGAGTTCGATGTGATTAATGGTAAAGTTATTTCCTTCTGAAGTTCACCGCCAGAGTCACTGTAACAGTTGTACCAATACAGAGATCAACAATGAAGCCGAAACTATGACTGAGTGCTGCACGACAAAGATAATCTCCTTTCTTCCAGCCGCTCAGGCAATTTCTCTTCCCGTTCTTCACACGTCCTAACCGACGGCTAACATTTCCGATCTTTGATGGCTTCTTCATCTTCCGACACCCTGCATGTCCCCGACTCGGTTGACCTCACTTCTGCCTGTTCGTACTTCGGCTCCCAGCGGTACAGTGCATTGAACCAGATCAATACATCCTGCTCCCAATCCCTCTTACCATAGTTTGAACAGAGCACAGAAAATACACAACTAAGCACGCTTACACACGCACACACACAAAGACACACACATTCTACGAACCAGCAGTAGTTTTTCAATGTTATTGAAAGCCTCGGTCATTTCCGGGAAGCCTACATCCCGCCCAAACTAACTTGTCAAAGTGGTTGCTCCGGTGTGAACTTGTATCTGGGTCCCGCAACCCAACTCGCTATTTTTGGGGTGAATCATCGCAAAATGCATCCCGTGAACTGGATCTTCCTGGGCAAGGAACAGCTGAAGATCAAGTCATTTTCTTTTAAAAAAAGACACGCTCGCACGCACACACACACACACACATAAATGCTTCTACATGTGCCAAAGTCACATTTCCCCCTTTTGTGAAGGCTCAATAAAAAAAAACTAGCCATGGATGAAAAAGAGCCCACCACGTTCATAAAGAGAAATAAAAGTTGAGTTGCGTTGGGAGTCGATACCAATTTTTAGTACTTAATAATGCAGTAGCACTACTTAATTAGATTGGGAAGTTGTATATTTTTATGACAGTTATACGTACCTAATTAAAAAGCATAAAGCATTGCGGTACTTTCGTCATTAAAGTAAAACATCTCTCCGATCAAGAGCAAAAAAACCATAAGTTATGTTATAGTCCATATAGCCGAGGAAAGAGGAGGAGGGCGGGAGATGGGGGAGGGGGAGAAGAGGGGAGAAGTTGCTTGTCAATCTTCTGCACTGTGACCCCAACTGAGAACACCCATTGCAGTCTGTGCTCGCATCATCATGGATTGCCACAAAATTGGTCTGATGTTGTGGTTCAGTTGTCAGGCGTGTCACATACAACCACAACAAATGACATTTACGCAGCGCCTTTCAAGTCGGGAGGACGTCCCAAGGCTCTGGACAGTCAGGGATCCGCACCCGAGCTGGTGGTTGGGATCAGGAGGGGTGGGAGGGTGACCAAAGGCACAGCCGAAGAGGAGGGTCTTGAGACGGGTCTTGAAGATGGCAAGGGAGGGGGCGAGGCGGAAGGATTGTGGGATGGAATTCCAGAGGGTGGGGGCAGAGAGGCTGAAGGCTGAAGGGGGGGGCGGGTGCGGGGTTGGAAAAAGAATCAGCAACAACTGGGCATTGCTATGCTCTCATTACCATCGTAACCAGTTCCTCAGTGCCAGTCTTCGCAATTACATACGACGGATTTTTTCTAAGATAGAGAACAGGACAGAGATTTGTCCTCACAAAGTAAATGAAGGCCAAAGAGTTTCCAATGTGAAATAGCTTCCTTTAGGAGTTGCAAGCTTCTGCATTACCCATGCTAACTTAATCCCATGTGTGCGTCTTCAATTCACTGCAAATCGTTGCATCTGCATCGTCGGACGAAACGAGAGCATGGGAATCGTGCAATAAAACGGTTGGACTGGATTCCAGTTTGATTTGTTTTCTGGTGAGATCATCATCAATGCTTATGGTATGACTCCAATCTCTGACTGTACCGTTCAGAACAATTCATATCCAAGTGGATTTTTTTTTGTTTTTAAAAACTCATTTAGTTACATGAACAGATAATAACATAAGAAATGCGAGATGAAAAAAAAGACCAAGTTCTATCGAGTTCACCTTCCAAGGGAGTTGCATGTACACATGTCCCGAGCTACCTGTGTACTATATCCCACAATCTTATTTCCTTTTAAAAAAACTACAACAACAACTTGCACTTGTATAGCGCCCTCCACACAGGGTAGCATCTCAGAGCGCTTAACAGTGGTAGAGCCTGACTCCGAGCCGGGGGGAGGGGGCTGTAAGCACAGTCGAAGAGGGAAGTTTTCGGGTGGGACTTGAAAGAGGGGAGAGCGTGAGCAAGGTGGGGGATTGAGGGAGAGCGTTCCAGAGTTTCGGGGCGTAGTGGCTGAAAGCGCGACCTCCGATGGTGGGGTGGAGGGTGCGAGGGATGAGCAGGAGGCCGGTGCCAGTCGAGCGGAGGCACTGACCGGGTGGTGGATTGGGGAGTGAGGAGGACGGAGAGGGAGGGAGGTGCCAGGGAGTGAAGGGATTTGAACACGAGTGGTGATGAAACTAGTGACATTAATGCAGAAAATTTGCCTACCTGGGCAATTTATGAAAGCCCATTCATAATTTTTGTCCTTTGGACAAAGGCTTGTGTCAAGCACGACTTCTTGGGTGTTCTTCCCACTTGGCTTCATTGGTCCCCTTGAAGAGCCTTCTGTACACTGTCCCTTTCCTGTGTTACTCGGGTCGTTGCACCAACCGCAACCAGGATGTTCCAGGCATTGTGCACAGGTACGAAGCCCAGAGCAGTTTTGAGCTATTTAAAAGGAAAGAGAGAGAGAGGAAGGGGAGGGTGGGGAGAAAAAAAATCCCATTAATTTTCATCATTAAAGATGACTATGCAAGTCAGTCAATACAGACAGATGAAAGAATGCCCGAGTTCAGCAATTATGTGAAAATTCTTGCAAAGCACAAGGTTTCCAATGAATCCTGCATCAAACAGACTGTTTAATTAACTGAAGCAGGGAGTGGAAATTCATTGCCCAATCAACGTCGGCTATTTCGTTGAACATTTTGTTACCTTTCTCTAAACCTATTTCATACCAATATCGTCGTTGTCTTTGTCTCGGAACAGTGCTTTACATAATCATCCTGCAACAGCTGCTGACACCCTCTGCCCAGTCGGGAGACCTCGAAGACAGCATAATGTGTCGGGGGACAATCCGACAGTTAACTTTCTCGTACAATTGTGCTTCCTCCAATATGGGACTCTTTGGTTTCTGCACCTATTCTGACACTGCGAACAATTTTGCACACTGTACGTTTTAAAGCCGAGTTTCGCAAAACACCACTAGTAACCCATTTCCGTGAGCACATTTTAAACAAGGATAAAACTAGCCAAACTGTGCTGAACCAATCTGTGGAGTGAAAATCAATGGGGTAATGTACCAGTCAAGAGAACAGAGGTGGGGAGATGAATTTGCACTCTGTGCTTCCACATCTATGTTGAGTAAACTGTGTGCTAATAAACACTACAAGCACTCAGACAATAAGAAATCACTCAGCAAATGGCCAGATAGTGAATGAGTTAGTTCATGTCTCTCCGATTTTCATAAGCTACCTGTAACATTCAACATATTTGTGCTTTATAGGCAGGAAATAAGTTTCCCAAACACTGAAAACATTTATAAATGCGAGTAAGATTGTATTTGTTTCAATCTGCAATGTACAGAGAATTATTTGCATCAATTTTTACACCTTAGCACATTTGGCCAGATGACAATTAACAAATGAGTCAGCCACTGGGCACAGGGAACCTTCTCAATCAGCGCCTATTAATTCTGCAAGCCAAAGTTTTAACAAGTCGGGTGATCTTAGCTGGACAAGTAGTGCTAAAGTAGTTTACCAGACAGCACTTCCAATGGCAAACTATGTGGTTTTAGCTGGTTAGTAGTCCAGCAATACCTGAATTCTTGGCTTGGCTCCTACCAATCTGTGCCTAGCAGTTTCTGAAAATACATTAGCAGGGTGTGCGCTTCTAGGGAGAAAATGCACACTGCATCGGAGATAAATAAGACCATAAGACGTAGGAGCAGGAGTAGGCCATTCGGCCCCTCGAGCCTGTCCCGCCATTTAATAAGATCATAGCTGAGCTTCTAACCTAATTCCATTTACCCGCCCTAATCCCCATATGCCTTAATCGCTCTATACTTTAAATCTATCAACCTCAGTCTTGAATAAGTGAAATGGGAAATTTCGATGGGGAGGTGGCATGTATATGTGGAATTCTGCCTGGTTTGAATGCCCTCAAGCATGGCAATGGGTTTCTGCGTGTGTCAAACAAAAGTTGGTTTGGTTGACCAAACAAAAACGTGCTGGAGATGAAGCAGCTTCAGTCTTTTACATCATCACATTTTCTTCCAAAATACCTCAAATCATTAGAAATTGGTTAAAACCTTTCACGGGATATAATCGTCTAAACTGACATGACCTCATTGTTCATCAACCTTCCACAAAGTGCTAAAGGATAACATTAGGGAACCCAATTTCTTCACAAAGTGAGGCAATTCAATTGTTTCTTCTCATGGAAAATATGATTCCAATCTACGGAAAGTGCTCAGTTCTTCTCTCAGCTGGATCAGTCAATGAACCTTCTCCCAGCCCCCCTCCCCCTCCCCACCTCCCCCTCCCCAACGCCTGTCATATTTGGCTCCGTACCCTTTTAAAACACATTTCCATTGGAATAGCCAGAGTGCACTCAAATGAGGATGCAGCAATTTCTATCGAGCGTCTAAATGGAATCTAATGGACTGCAGTGCATTGTTGTGACACAAAACTGATTTCATATGCAATTACATTTGGTGACAGCAGATTTAGTAACCACAGACATCTAAAATATTTCAGTGTTTCAAAGGAAATGCTGTATAGGGTTCCATTTTGTTGGCTGAGCTTTTTTTTCCCCCACCGTGAAAATAGCCTTTCCCGCTTCACGTTCTATTATACTCCAAATTTCAGCATATCCCAAGGGTACAAATTACAACAACGGAAAACATTTGGATTCTGTAAAGCTGCGAAACAATGTTTTATATAATGGCCGAGCAATGGATGTTCACAACTCATTTCTAAATTGCAATGGTACAAAATATCTGTCACAGTGATGGGGCATTTTGGTTTATCTATAATACACAAAAAGGCCAAATATTGCAAAGTACAGAATGCTTTTTCGGGACCATCACAAGAGCAACAATTTTCCACCTCAAGAGGGAGAGAAAAAAATCTAAAAGAACAAAAAATGATCAACAACATAAAGCCAGTTTATATCCTTTCAATGTGTTGCCATGCAATATAATCATCTGGTGATCATTACAAAAAATCAAGTGTTTGATGAGCAAAAAAAAAGGATTTTGATATTAACCTTCTCGCTTGACTTGTATGGAAATCTTAAGTATCTATTTTTGCAGATGCGCTCATTCAAAATTCCTTTCCACACTTCACAAACAGATCAAGCGATTGGTTTACTCTGCTGGCTAAATAATCAATGGCAAAGCTTGTAAATCTGTTGCATTAAGGGGCAATGCTCCAACAGGAGCAGAGTTGCTGTTAAATGCCCTTGCAACCTATTTAACTTCTTTATTCAAAAATGATCATTTTCTTCAAATTTTTCACGGTAAAAATCAAGGTTAAAAATCACTTTCGTCTCAAACGAGAAAGCGTTTTTAAGAGGAAGATTAAATTACGAGAGGTCACAACTTTTAACCTCCAAAAAATACATTTGGGTGACTGGGTGAGGAAGTGGGGGGGCGGGTTGATAAATGAGAGATTAAATGAAACATCGCTGTGTGTAAAATATTGTCTAGTCTTGACAAACAGCACACGGGTACACTGAAGGTGATCAGCAGATCCTGTTTGGAAACGAGAAGCGACTCTGAGAAGAAGTGAAAAGTTGTGAGGAGAAGTTTAAGAATAAAGTACTTACAGAGACAGCTCATGGTCTGCCACTCCATGCATTGTCCATACGGAAAGGAGATCACGTAAGTGTTGGAATCCACGCATCGCTTGGTACTGCTGCACCACATGCACTCGACACCTTGACTCGTGCAGTTTGCGCACGTTGTTCTGAGCGAGCAAGGCACTTTGCAGAGTCTCGCATTTTGATTTGGACTGACTGCAGAAGAAAGAAGATTTCTTACTCAGAATCGTAGACCATTACAGCACAGAAAGTAGGCCATTCGGCCCATCGTTGCCTGTGCCGACTCTTATGGAAGAACTACCCAACCAGTCCCACTCCCCCACTCTTTCCCCATATCCCTGCAAATGTTTCCTTTTCAACTACTTATCTGATTCCTTTTTGAAAAAGAACTCAACATTGATACATCACCTTCCTGCAGATGTGGAGACCTGTAGCTCAGTGGTTAGAGCACTCGCTTTGCAAGTGAGAGACCCGAGTTCAATTCCAGGCAGAGGGCGAAACCTTGGGCAAGTTTCCTTACTCCACACAGAGCCTAATAATAATCCCTCCAAAACCCAAAACAATAATAAATTGGTCATTTTCAATCTACGACTGTTTGTGGGACATTGCTGTGCGCAATTGGCTGCCGCGTTCGCCCACAAATGTACAGTCAATTCACTTCACACAGTGTGTTCTGTGAAGCGCTTTGGGATGTCCTCCTGACATGAAAAGCGCTATATCAAATGCAAGGATTATTATTATTATTATATGTAATTTTTCACCCAATTTGCGCACGTTTTATGTACAAGCATTTGGATTAAAGTGGAATCGGGTAGTTGGAATTTTCATGACAGTGAATGTGTGTAATACTCTGTGATCAATGATGGCAGAAGGATGTACTGATCGTACAAGCAAATCATACTCTGTGTTCCGGTCAATGTTTCTTTTTTGTGAGCATTTTCCCCAATCGACAACTTGGGCTCTGTCCTCACCCATTCTGTCCTCTTCTACACTTCATCCAACCCTATCCGTGCTTCTGATGGTAATTCCACTCCACAATTATCAGCTTTCTCCAAATAACCCTTCTTTGATTAACACAACTTTCAATCCTTTCCAAGGGATGGCTGGATCACTAAATCAGCATCTTCTCCATTCTCTTACAAGCTAATTCCTTAGCAGAGATAATCTGACTTCATTTAATTCATCAAAGGTACAGTTCCTTGGATCTCTTGCGAGTCTAACCAATCTCTCAACTTTCAATAGCTTGACTCTTAATGCTTCTTCATTTGTCGGCAATCCATCCCCTACTATCTCTCCTGATCTCCAAAGAGGTCTTCAAGATGCTCAGTGTCCTCTTTCACAGCAAACATTAATTTTCCTCCAAACAATTCTCGATCCTTTAGAAAGCTTTGTTTACACAAGGCTTGAATACTGGTCCATATCTGGGGAGACTAACAGCTCTTTTGCATTCCTAAATAAGGACAAACGAAACTGGTGGTCTGATCCTCCCAGGATTGTTGGTCTTAAACGCTTCTCCCTATTTCATGGAGTCCACATCAAAGTCTTGCATGTGCTTCTCCTAAGTTTCACATAAACAATTCCGAATGCTCTTCATCAAGCATGAGGAAATCAATAAACGGTATAATCTCTCTTTTCTAACTTATTCTTATTTCCCAGGAGCAGCAACATAGAGAAGCTCCTTACCTCCTCCAGTCTTTTTTCCTTGATACAATCCACAAGTGGTTAAAGGCCCAATTTCGGTGTTATCTAACCTCTTCTTGACTTATCGCATCTCTTTGCTTTCCTTTTCAAACTTGATGTCTGCTGCACTGAGGCACATTGCTTCACCTTTTTCTTAAAAACTAAGGAATCAGCAGCATTGCAAATGAAACCGTTATTAACTAGGTTTCATGTTTCAGGGAATGAAGGTTTTATTCCCCACAGTTCAAATTCAGCGGAAAACTAACCCATATTACTGAGCAGGAGTACTAATGAGCCAGCTGGGCTTAAAACGTTAAAGTGTTCTCTTGCTCATGCAGGTTTCAGAATTAAATCCACCATTTGCAGTGCGCTGGGAAATTCTTTTCTTTTTGCCACTGGGAATTGAGCCAGGCTGCAATACAGTCATTATGTAACGGTGAGTCAACACCATGTTCTTATAAAGTCTGGTCTCTAAATTAGAGGTAGTTAATTTTGTGTCTATGGACACACATACCCACATTGCATGAATAAGATGTAATTTCAATTCTCATTATTTCTACCCACTACATATTTCTTTATAACAGGAATCTTATCTTCCTTAAACAAATTACTCACAGAGACTGAGCTTTGGGAACGAAAAGAAAAAGTCTTTCACTGGTGGAATAAACAATTAGAGTTAACCCGCTTGCAAAGAATTTCTTTGAATTTCAGTCTTTTCTATCAGACTGTAATATTATTCATCAAAAATTGAGTGATTTGCTTTGCACATTTGTAAGAATTGCAGGTTCGTTTTTTTTTAAAAAAAAGGAAATCTAGGTACCCTGTATATGAGAACGCAACAACAACAAAAATTGCATTTATACAGCACTCTTTGTGTAGGTTAATGTCTCGGAGCGATTTCCAATGACAAGGTCAGATGTAAGCAAGGGAAACAGGAGAGGTGGAAGGAGAAGTGACCTTAGGCTCAGTTGAAGAGGTAGGTTTTAAGGCAGATATAGAGAGAGGTTCTAATAGAGATGTAGAGGAAGGGAGTTCCAGAGGTCAGACACATTATAACTGAAGACTTCGAATGAATAAGGGAATCCAAAGTATTGGAGTAGCAGGAGATCATAAGATGGGGCATTTGGTTTACAACTGGTTGTAAAAGAAAAATGAAAACATAGCGCATACAGGGATTTCTAGGCGAGGATGAGGACTTGAAATCAATCCTTTGGGAGACAGGGAGTCTAGCAAGAACTGGTGGGAGTGCCTGCGGAGATACATGCTGGTTGCAGAGTATTGGATTAACTGGAGTTTAAAGGATGGCAAAGCTGGAGCGACCAGTGAGGGTGCTTTTAAAAAGTCTATGCAGGAGCTAACAAAGGCATAAGGGGTTCAGTGGCATTTGGTGAAAGATGAGGGGAAAGGGAGAGGGGAAGAGGGAAATGTGTCCATAACATCGTTCCATATTGGTTGAATAATTGCATTATGCAGAAATATTTTTTCCAGTGATGACTCTCAACCTATAATATATACATATAGTATGTATGATGGGCACCAATTAATGCACTTGAAGAATTTCGCTAATGATAATAATCTTTGCACTTGATATGGCGTCTATATTATTACTCCCGGAAAAGCAATCCGCCAATCAACTAACAGCCGGGTTCCTACTCACTGCTGGGTAAACAGAGAGGTGTCGAGTAAGGACACTTGCCCAATGTTTTGCCCTGCCAGGAATCAAACCCAGGTCCTCTCACTTGCGAGGCGAGTGCCCTAACCACTGAGTTACAGAACTCCACGGGGCTAAGCGAATAATACTTTCACATTTGGATTGCAATTATTTGTAAAAGAAAAATGTAAACAATTTCCATCTTGGTTTACTGCAAAAAAAAAGGACTTTTAAATTATATTTGATGAGACTAAATTATTTGAACACTTAATAGCGTGCTGGTTGTTACTATAATACAGTCTAGATGTATACATGAATCCAATTACACGCAGCGTGTTTGAGTTACATAGAATATTTATTTATTATGTTGCTAAATTAGAATGCAAAATTAGAATACTGACTTCTAAACAGGAAAGAACATCCGATCACATTACAAATTATTTTTTTAAAAATCAGTAGGTTTCAGTGCAAGTCTGCCCTCTAGAGTGCAAAATGTATATTTGAATGTTCTTCCAAACGTGTGCACAAGGACATTTGGGCACCTCTCTTTATCATAAAGCTTTTATGGTAAAGTATCATATGGTTACGTTGTTCCATAAAGTTTGGGGCTGTATCTCTGCCTGAAGAGAGTCTGACTATTCATTTGTCGGAATCTGAAACACCTTTCAAAAAAGTAAGCATAAGTTACAGAGAGGTCAAATTCTTAGTGGTCATTATACTGGCTGTTCATTGCGTTTGATTACTTGTGGGGAAGTCAAAGAGGAGGTGGGAAGTTTAGTTGTAACTTCGGGGATGCTCTTGCCTCTGAGTCAGAAGGTGCGGTTCAAGACCCATAATAAAATAAATAACAATCCTTGCACTTGATATAGCGCCTTATCACGTCTTCGAGACTTCTGAAAGCGCTTCACAGAATATACTGTAAAGTGAATTGACTGCCTATTCTGTGGGCAAAACGCAGCAGCCAATTGAGCACAGCAGGGTCCCACACACAGTCGTGGATTGAGCGACCAAATTATTATTATTATTCTTTTGGAAGGGAATATTACCCTCAGAAAAGCGATCCGCCAATCGCCGAACAGAGGAGTGTGGAGTAAGGAAATTTGCCCAACGCTTCGCCCTGCCGGGGAATTGAACCCAGGTCTCTCGCTTGCGAGGCGAGCGCTCTAATCACTGAGCTGCAGGATTCCACCTATGTCAGGGCTTTGAACTTGACTGACCCAATGTAATGCTGAGGGTGGATGTGTTCCAGTGTTGGAGCTGCCGCACATCCTTTGGCTGAGATGTCCCGTCTGCCTGTTTTGAGGTCGTTTAAAGAGCCCATGACTCTTTCTCAAAAAAGAAGGGAATTTCTCCTGATGGATAGCTATCAAGCCCCAAATAAAATTGGTCACTCACTTCATGGCTGTCTGCATGATATTGCTGTGCGCAAACTGGCTGCCTCTGGAACTCCATCCCTCAGTCCCTCCGTCTCGCCGCCTCCCCTTGCCTCATTCAAGACCCTCCTCTTCGACTCTCCTCTTCGGTCACGCTCCTACCCCTACTCTCCCCGCCCTCCACCCCTCCTGATCCCAACCACCAGCTCGGGTGCATATCCCTGACTGTCCAGCACCTTGGGACGTCCTCCTGACGTTAAAAGCGCCGTGTAAATGTCATTTGTTGTTGTTGCCTCATTCGCCTAGAGAATATATGGTCATTACACTTTACAGTACACCCAGTCAAGCACTTTGGGACATCTTCCTGAGATGAAAGGCGCTCTATCAAATTGAAGTAGCATTATTATATATTTTTTTGGAACTTTGGTCAGCTCCGGCCCATCCCTCCAGCCCTTCTGTTGGGTAGACTTTGAACTCTCGAGGTCAAATAGAGGTTCCATTTTTCCAGCGGTGCTTTCATTGTTTGAAAATTGATCCGAGTCGCACAAAAGAAAAGAAAAAACAACAAATCTTACCAACTGGTTTTTCACAGACCAAGCCGTCCGCCATTTCTGTGCATGCGTATGCTTTGAGACCGGCGACTTCTGCTTTCACTAAGTATGCGCAGAAGCCGGAGTCATTGGGCTCTTCAGGAAGCCATTGCAGGGTAGTGTTTGTGAATGGGGACATGTCCTCCCAGCCCCAGTAGGAGATGTTGATTTTACGCAGTCCAACCCAAGGTGAGATTTTCTGTCACAACAAAAGGCAAACGGAACAATTACCTCTTATATTAACATCAGTGTCCATTTTCTCCTGTTTGAAATCAATACTGTTCTGATTACATTCAGCCTCCTCCGTTCACATTGATTTCTGCCCCCACCACCCCCCACAACTCTCTCCCCCCTCACCCCCCAGCAGAAAACAATCTGCCTGGTCCAGTTTTTACAGATAATTACAGTTTGAAAAATTTAATGAAAAAAAATCCATCCTTACCTATTCTCATTCAATTATGTGTTTCTCAGCTTCAACTGATACAATTGAAGGGCACGGTCGAAAATGGCATATATTTTACGTTATAATTGTACAGTAAACCTAGTTGCAGCGCTGAAAATAGATTCTTAAAATTTATCATCATTAAATGTTCTTGCCTCGCCTTTGCTATCACCAAACACACAAAAATCAAACGCTGTTTCATAGGTCATACAAAGGTTTAAAACCATACAATTTATGTTGTGCCGAAAATGGTCGATCGCTACCTGAATTCACAAGAGACAGGTTATTTAACTAGAAATTTACAAAGTCGACATTGCCACAGAAAGTTGAAAACGACAAGAAGATAGAAAATAAAATAATTCTTCCCTCAAAACATCGAATTTAAATAATGGGCAACACATTTAGGAGTTAGCAACACTCCTTTGTCTTTTGAACGCACGGATAATAATAATAAATCCTCGCACTTGATATAGCACCTTATCAAGTCTTCGCGACGTCTCAAAGTGCTTCACAGAATATACCGTAAAGTGAATTGACTGTGTATTTTGTGGGCGAAACGCAGCAGCCAATTGCACACAGCAGCGTCCCATAAACAGCCGTGGATTGAACCACCAATTTATTATCTTTTGAATTTATTTTTTTGAAGGAATTATTACGCCAGGAAAAGCGATCCGCCAATCGACTAACAACCTGGTTCCTACTTAGTGCTGGGTAAACAGAGGCGTGACCGTGAATATTATACAAATTCGACAGTATCTGATAATAGCAGAGGTGATGGCTCACAGATCACATCTTCCTAATTTCGCTGTTGGGTTAAGCTCTTAGTCATTTTTCTAAGTGAAACGAACATGCAAAAATAGGAAATAACCTAAGAAAATGAGAACCCTTTTAATAAAGACAACGCACGGACATTTTTAGGCCACAGCAGTGCGTCTGGTAACATCTACGAAGTATAAAAGGATGTTTGTACGGCTGACCGTCACTGAAACCATGAGCCTGATAATCACATTTCAATTCCGGATTGAATAGGATTTTTTGCTTCCAGTCGAACAAGACGGAAAAGGCGGAATGACGTGGGGGAGGGGTGAGTTACCTCGTGTGCATACGTCCCACTGATCTCTTTTAAGAGAGGAAAAGCAACAGCTTTTACATCGACAAAAGGTTTCAAGGTCAGCCTCAGTGTCTCGGGTAGTAGCTTAATTGGTTTTATCAGAAGTTCACTAATCAGAGAGATTTTTATTAAACAAAAATAGGCTCAAGCACGTCTGAGATGGCCTGCAGGTTAGTCCAAGGCACTGACTCCCTCGATCGGAAAAAACGACACTTAGATCAAAGGTACACAGGAAAATCTGATTCTCAGCAGTTCTTTAATCTGCATCAAATAAGTCCGTGAGGGACATGGCAACAGTGTCTAAGTATCACTTGCTTTAGCTGAGACATTCTGGGATTGCTGCACAAACCTGTGCTGCGTCTGCACTCTCAGTTTTCACAGTCATCCATGGCCATGGCCGTGCCCCCTCCTACCTCTCTGACCTGCTGACTCCCTACCAACCTGCCCGCTCCCTCTGTTCAGCGGGCTCCAACCTGCTCCATGTCTCCCGCCCGACCCGCCCTACCATCAGTGGCCGGGCTTTCAGCCTCTCTGCCCCCACACTCTGGAACTCCATCCCATGGTCCCTTGGCCTCGCTTCCTCCCTTGCCTCCTTCAAGGCCGGCCTCAAGACCCTCCTCTTCGTTCGTGCCCTCGCTCGCCCTCCCACTTCTCTGCCTTCCCTCACCCCTACCCCACCGCTCCCCCATGTTCGGGTTCCTGACCCGACTGTTGTCATAAACTAAGAGGAACCTTACTATACACCAGCCAAAAAGTTTACAGGATAAGTGAGAAGAGAGTGCCGTCACTGTTAAGGTGCAATTTTATGACTTTATTTTATGTTGCTGTATCGTCGTATCACTACGCAACTAGATAATTATTTGGGGAGGACAAGTTTGTAGGGCTATGGAGAGAGAGTGGGGGAGTCGGGTTGATCAGGGCTATGGGAAAAGAGCAGGGAAGTGGGCTTGATCAGGGCTATGGGGAGAGAGCGGGGGAGTGGGGTTGATCAGGGCTATGGGGAGAGAGCGGGGGAGTGGGGTTGATCAGGGCTATGGGGAGAGAGCGGGGGAGTGGGGTTGATCAGGGCTATGGGGGGAGAGCGGGGGAGTGGGGTTGATCAGGGCTATGGGGGGAGAGCGGGGGAGTGGGGTTGATCAGGGCTATGGGGGGAGAGAGAGGGAGGAGTGGGGTCGATCAGGGCTATGGGGAGAGAGAGAGTGGGGGAGTGGGGGTGATTTGGAAGCTCTTTTTGAAGAGCTGGCACAGACATGGCATGCCGAATGGCCTTCTTCTTTGCTGTATAATTCTATAGTTCTATGTACTGTCGCAATGTTAGCAATCGAAGCAACAAAAAACAATGAACCAACTCTTTCATTCACCCCACTCCCTGCATTCCTACTCACGTAAAGCTGCAAAGGCGATAAAATTATGTGTCGTCTTCAACAGTTTCAAACAAGATTACAAAAAGTTGACTACAAAGCAGTGTGAAGTGACAACAACAACATTACATTTGTAAAGCGCCTTTCACGTCGGGAGGACGTTCCAAGGCGCTGGACAGTCAGTGTTTCAGAACCGGGCTGGGAGTCGGGGTCGGGGAGCATGGATGGCAGGGGGGGGAAGCAGGGAGATCGAAAACACGAGGAAGGTCTTAAGATGGGTCTTGAAGGAGGCAAGGGAGGGGTCGAGGCGGAGGGACTGTGGGATGGAGTTCCAGAGGTTGGGAGCAGAGTGGCAGAAGGCCCACCCGCCAATGGTGGGGCGAGCGAGGCGGGGGATGTGAAGCAAGTAAATCCAAATAGTACAATGACAACTTACATTTATATAAATATTCCAATACATAATTATTTACACACTGTCTTTCATGTCGGGAGGAAGTCCCAAGGCACTGGATAGTCAAGGGTTTGGGCTCGAGCAAGGAGGGGGAGGGCGTGTGTGCTGGGATCAGGGAGGGTGGAGGGTAGGAGGGTGGCCAAAGGCTCCGTCGAAGAGGAGGGTCCTAAGATGTGTCTTGAAGGAGGCCAGGGAGGGAGCGAGGCAAAGGGAATATGGGATGGAGTACCAAGACCATATAAATATGACCAACATTTGCTCATTGGCTCATGTGGAGCATAAACACCGGCATTGACCAGTTGGGCCGAATGACCTGTTCCTGTGCTGTAGATTCTAATGCATTCTAAGGTAGTCATCCTTCCAGAAAACCTCCCATCACTGCATTTATCTGTGTGTGTTTTTTTTTTAAAAAGTGTCGTATTCTGGCCTCAACCACAGTTATTAATTACCACCGGAAATTGCCATTTTCAACTCTAAACCTATGTCCTCTTGGCCTGGGTTGGTGCAGCCTAAAGTATTTTCAATACGATTTATAATTGTATAACGCTGACACGGTAGTTCTTGCATTTGTCCCTTTGAATATCTATGAATAACCACCTCAAAATGCATCAGAACGCAGAGATTGTAGCCTATAACCACATCAGATTAAATTACATCAAACAATTGTATCCTAGTATGACTGGATGCTATCTGAGCTCCTCAGTACAGCGCATTCTCGTGTTAATATAATCCTTGCATTTGATATAGCGCCTTTGAGACGTCTCAAAGGGCTTCACTGAATACGCTGTAAAGTGAATTGACTGAATATTTTGCAGGTAAAACACGGTAGCCAGTTTGCTCACAGCAGCGTCCCACAAACAGCCGTGGATTAAGTGACCACATTTTCAAGGGATGATTACCGCTAATCGACTTACAACCAATTTCCTACTTACTGCTCGGTAACCAGAGGGATGTGGAATAAGGAAACTTGCCCAACGTTTAGTCCTGCCAGGGAATCGAACCCAGGTCTTCTCGCTTGTGAGGCGAGTGCTCTAACTAAGCTACAGGATTCCACAAGAGACTAAAAGGTTTAGCATGCCAGATCACTGCAACTAGACAAAGTTGCAGTATAAGAATTTTTATAAATTGAAAAGCTTACGCTAATAAAAAAAAAGCTAGGATTTTCCGTTCCAATGATTTACTTACAGAACCCTCATGTTTCTTGTCAAGTGAGTAAAATTTGTCTTGCAGTTTGGAGATCCTGCTATAGCAACAGTCCTGGATCCAAATAGTCTGTCCACAGATCAATCGTCACCTAATTGGAAGTCTATCATTCCCTGAATAGTTTTATTTTTCCCCTTAACATTTATCCAACACTTTGCTTTCGGTAGGTCAGTATATTCTCTAAATTTGGACAGAGGTTGCAAGATGAATAAAAGCGAATGATCCAGTTTATTTCACAAGCCAAAACCACATAAACTCCTTTGTGAACAACTCATGGCAGCTTTCCCCACAAGCGTAAAGCAATGGTCAAACCTCTGTTCGCTCCCATTGTGTAATCTAGTTCACATAAAATAAATCTAGATATAATTTTAGGTGAAAATAATGTCGTATTTCATTTCAAAGCGGATGTGTACTAGTTACGCTACCTGAATGTTTCTCCAACCCCACAAGCATTCATCTTAAAAATTCTCTCTTCCAGGGGTAAGGTATTAAAATCACTCGAATGTTTTCAGCCCGAAGAAACCACTTTAATCACGGACCTCGTGTGAATATTTAACTCCACGACTTTGATAAGAAATTGAAAGAAAATGGCAAGTGGCTGTTCTTGTTGCTTCAAACCCGTGTACAGCAACAGATTATACGAGGGCAGTGCAGGCGCCATGACATGTCTGAAGTTACCAGTTTCATATAGTCAGGGAGCAGCTCCACAGTAATATCAAAGACTTGAGTTATTTTTTTTTAATCTGACTGGATTTCTGCAGATGCTTGCTGTACAAACAAGACTCCTCCACACCCATGGTCGCTGGAGAACATAAGAACATAAGAATTTGCAGGCAAAAGAAGACCAAGGTCCATCTGGTTCGCCTTCCGCCATCTTGGCAGTCGCCTGACCTGTCGTGTCCCAAACTATACCCAGTATCCCGAGATATTATTTTCTCGCAGAAATCTATCTAATTTGTTCTTGAAACAAGTGCCATTTTCTGCTTCTGCTATCTCCCTAGGGAGCCTGTTCCACAAAGTTTACTGCTCGTTAACTGAAGTCGTGTCATCAGTTTTCATCCGTCAACGAATACAGTCACTACACTTTACAGTACATTCTGCGAAGCGCTGAGACGTCTCAACGACATGATAATTCCAAATGCAAGGATTATTATTAAGTACATTTCAAAGCAAAACACTGGTATCAAGCTGTGATGCTAATCTTCTATTCTGGTTCGAATAACCCCAGCACGTTTAACTGAAGTGGAAACAAAAATTGATGAACTGAATTGTTTGACACAAAAGAGGAAAACTCTGTTTATTATTTTTAAAATAAATTTTTGTAAAATGTTCAGCTCTCGGGAAATTAAACCGGAATGTCAAAACAAAACTGTACTATGCATTTGGATACAGTAATCCTTTCGACACTTCCCGACTCCGGCACAAAAGAACAGTGAACTCTGAAATTTGAAAGTATTTATAAATGGGGGGGAGGGGGGGTTCTAACGGACATGGACTGGTGTATCAATATCTCACCACATCTCACGATGAGATAAGGTTAAAACAGCAGAGGTTAAAACAGCTTCAATTCCCAGTGTAAATGCTAGAGTACACCACACACGACAAAGCTAACAACAAATTACACTTGTATAGCCCCCTCCTCACGTCGGAAGGACAGCCCAGGGTGTTGGACAGTCAGGGGTTTTTGGACCCGAGCTGGGAGTTGGTGTCCGAGGGGGTGGAGGGCGGGGGGTGGGACTGTGGTCAAAGGCACGGTCGAAGAGGAAGGTCTTTAGACGGGACTCGAAGGGGGCAAGAGACAGAGCAAGACAAGGAGCACCAGGCTGCACTCACCTGTACCATATACTTCTGGAGCTCGTCCAGAACGAATTCAACCTCCTTCGAAGTGGTGAGGGAAGCGAGATTCCCACTGAGGTTGTAGCAGTAGAGCTTGGCGTTGTCGTAGTTTTCTCGGCTCGTGTTGATGCGAAGGCAGACGTCACCTACATGGTTCCAACCTTCTCCGCAGAGGTGAGCTGGAGCCACAGGAAAACAAACAACTGGTAGAGCGCCACGATTGCCGGGACATAACACCGTAAACCAGCCCCCCCTCCACCCCTCCCCAAAAAAATGCCGCACCTTACACATCCTCCAACCCGCCCGCATTTCCCTCTCCCGCGTTTATTGCGCCCACAAGACATACAGTCAATTCGCTTCACTGTGTATCCTGTGAGGCGCTTTGAGGCGTCTCGAAGACGTGATAAGGCACTGTATCAAAATGCGAGGATTAGTGTTAGTATTATTATTAGTATTGTGATGACCATCATCACCTCCCCCTCTTTCCTTGGCCCGTCTCAAACTGTACCGCTTCCATTTTTCGTTCCTATCCACCCGGCTCTTCTCTCATCCCAGCCCATCCGCCATTGCCAGAGTCTGACACAACCTCCCAGCATGAAAGGCACTAAATAAATGCACTCTGTACTGTATCGTCACCTACTTGAATCAGGATTATGTTGGCTGTCCACACGCAGACCACACGCACGGACGCAGCACACACACACGACGCACGCATCACACATGCACCTCACAAGCACGCACACCACACATTGCAAGAACAGATTTCTTTCATGTCATTGCTATGAAAACTTCATAGTAATCTGAAGAGCAAAATGCAATTGACTATATTTGGCACTCAGTGGTATCTAAACTAATTATAATAATTCTGTACTATTCCCTGCATTTGATATAGCACCTTATTGAATCGAAACACCTCAAAGCACCTCACAGCATTTTCTTGTGTGTTCGAAAGCAAAAATGACAGCGAATTTATCCACAGCAAAGTGGATAGCCCACAATCATCTATGAAACGATTTTTTGGGGGGAGAAACACTGGGAGAAGAGGCATTTTATTTCCAAAAAATAGTGCCGTGGGATCTTTGAGCATCCAGCAGAACAGGCAGACAGGACTTTGGTCAAACGTGTAAACCCAAAAGAAGAATGCTGTGCTTCTCAGGCAACGTGAAGAAGTGGCAGCCTAAACTGTGAGCTCAAAAAGTCACAGAGGGGGATTGACCCACAACCTTGACTGACGCGAGAGCACGACCGTCTGAGTCAGCCTGACACGGAACACTCGTAGAATGTCGACCTGGACCAAAATTTCTGTTGTACTTGAAATTGCTTCAAATCTCCAGAGGGGTACAGAACTATCATTGTCTGGCAAAACATCGTTATTCTCATCGATTCCTGCTGGGTTGGCTTTTGTCTGCATTGACGCAATGTGCCTGGTCCACAAGGTTTGAAGCTCAAGTCAGTAAATCCCAACAGAGAGACTTGTTAGGTGTCCTGAAGCTCTCTCCAAAAGCACGATTGTAGAGTGTATATAATGAAGCAGAACGCCATCAGAATAGCATCGCATCGGACTATCATAATCAAAGTCAAACACCGACAGGATTTTGTTTTCAGGCGATTGCCTGCAATACATTTTCACGATTCGAAAAGTAAGTCGGAGCCAAATCTCTTTCGTCTCAAAACACTTTTTTTTTTCCTCTCAACCATGGTAAACGCAACCATTCTAACCGTGTTAAATAGGAAACAAAAAGCCTCGGGAATCCTCGACATGTATTCGCAGTATTACTATACAAATCTCCCCAACACAATATGCATTTATAGGATGTGACGGGAAAACTATTTTTTATTCTGAACAATCAACTGAAACTCAATATCATATCGTCAGGGGACTCCAGAAAAAAAAGCAAAATGAAAAATGGCAATGCAAGGAAAGCTCTCGTCGAGTTCGGTGCAACTCAATCAGCCTCTAGAAATGTTTCTCAATAACATCTGGAGTAATAATACAGCCTCTCACAGGAAACTGTCAACCGCAATAATAGTAATAATAATTACTTGCATTTGATATCGCGCCTTTTCACATCTTCGAGATGTCTCAAAGTGCTTCAGAGAATATACTGTAAAATGAATTGACTGTATATTTTGTGGGTGAAACGCGGCAGCCAATTACGCACATCGGTGTCCCACAAACGGCCGTGGATTGAAGTGACCAATTTATTATTTTTTTTACGGAATTATTACCGCTGGAAAAGCGATCCACCAATCAACTTACAACTGGGTTACTGCTTACTGCTGGAGAAACAGAGGCATGTGGAGTAAGGAAACTTGCCCAATGTTTCGCCCTGCTGGGAATCGAACCCGGGTCTCTCGCTTGCGAAGCAACTGCTCTAACCACTGAGCTACAGGATTCCAATAATACTAATACAGCCAAGCTCGTTTCTAATAAACTAACAGCTGAGGATGATTAAATCTTCTCACACCTTCAGGGTCAATGTCCCTCAGGTACCCGTCTGGAACCATTCGAATAAAAGGAAGTTACCTTTTAAATCAATCGAGTGCGAAGACAAAAATCTATGTCAAATTGGGCGTTGATGCATTTGGATTAAGGATTCTTACCTGGTAAAGCTTGGCATTCCTGATTCCGCTGATCCCACTGACAGTTTAGATTTAGTGAGCAGGTCTTGCAATTCGTAAGCTTGCTGCAAATAAGCTCGTTCCTCACGCGACATTTTGTGTAGTTTTTCACTGACTGGAAAACAAAAAAACATTAAAAAGCGTTAACAGCAAATAAGACACACGAGCCAATTTTAATCTACTTGTTTACCGAATTCAGATGGAACAGGAATATTGATCAGGTCGTTAACCAACCCAACCCATGCTGTTCTTTGAAACAGTGCTGTTGCACCTTTAACCTTCACCTGTACCACTCCATCAGAAAATAAGAAATAAAGAAATAAATAATCCTTGCATTTGATATAGCACTTTATCACGTCTTCGAGATGTCTCAAAGCGCTTCACAAGTGAATTGACTGTATATTGTATGGATGGAAAAATGCGGCAGCCATTTGCTCACATCAGTGTCCCACAAAACAGTCGTGGATTGAATGACCAATTTATTTTTATTTTTTGAAACAATTACCTCCAGAAAAGCAATCCGCCAATCGACTAATAACCAGGTTCCTACTTACTATTAAGTAAACAGAGGCGTATGGAGTGAGGAAACTTGCCCAACGTTTCGCCCGGCTCACAGATCTAACCCAGGTCTCTCGCTTGCGAGGCAAGTGCTCTAACCACTAACTCCACAAGGCCTGTGAAGCACTTCGAGAGATCCTCCCAACGTGAAAGGTGCTATACCAAGTGCAAGGATTATTAATAATAAACTGCAATGCCCGAGATTAGAAGTTCAAATTTGTAGTGGATTTCAGTTGGACAACGTTTTGACCCAGAGGTGCTACCAATTAAGAAAATAAACCAGTTTAGCCCAATCTAATGCACCACACACGCCAATCGATCCAAATCGTGAGAAGCAGCAGAGTGCATTTAGGTCACTGCAGGATAGAAATGACAGGATTTTGGTTCAATCGCTGCAATCCCTAATTTTGTCCAGGAAAAGTGCTTATCATATAATAATAATCCTTGCATTTGATATAGCGCTTTTCACGTCTTCTCGACGTCTCAAAGCGCTTCACAGAATAGACCGTAAAGTGAATTGACCGTATATTTGTGGGCGAACGCAGCAGCCAATTGCGCACAGCAATGTCCCACAAACAGTCGTGGACTGAAAATGCAAGGCGAGCGCTCTAACCACTGAGCTACAGGCTTCCCGACAATATAAGCAAGAAAATTCATGGGAAGCTGGGGAACCACAGAGAGAAAAATAATGTAAACCAGACAAAAAATATTGAAGGTCTGCAATAATAATAATAATAAATTGTCACTTAATACCACTGTTTGTGGGACGCTGCTGTGCGCAATTGGCTGCCGCGTTTCGCCCACAAAATATACAGTCAATTCACTTTACAGTATATTCTGTGAAGCTCTTTGAGACGTCTCGAAGACGTGATAAGACACTGTATCAAATGCAAGGATTATTATTGTTTATTGTATTATATCAGCACTAATTTTTTCAATTCAGTTAATAAAAAGCTGCAGATGGAAATAAATTTAAATCGTTACCTCTCTCTCTCCCACATACACAGGATAGATTTTTTTATATGGAGATGCGTTTATAGTAACAAATTAATAGTATAGATGAAAACTATTCTCAGCTCCAGGATTTTCTATCAAGTCTAGGTTTGTTGTTTTGTCGAAACTGAATAATCTTTTAAACCGCAAAACAGTAATCTCATTTAGCTGACTGAACTCTGGTTCCATTCTGGGCTGAATTATATTGACCAAGTCCCAGTAAAATGTAACTTTTGGGGCTAATATTGTAGTCACCATCACACTAAATGTATATTTAATATATTAAATATATATTTTGTACATATTTTATATCTTAAATATGAGTCAATTGGCAGATCGCTTATTATTATCCGGGGATAATAATTCTTTCAAAAATATAAAAGTTTAAAACGTTAATAATTTGGTCAGTCAATCTATGACTGTTTTGTGGGACGCTGCTGTGCGCAATTCGCTGCAGAGTTTCGCTTGCAAAATATACAGTCAATTCACTTTGCAGTATATTCTGTGAAGCGCTTTGAGACGTCTAGAAGTCGTGATAAGACGCTATATCAAATGCAAGGATTACTATTATTATTAATGACTGGAACAAGTTCCCAAGAAAGGTGGTTGAGGCCAAGACACTGGGACTCATTTAAAAAGCAGATCAGTGCTGTGATGGGGGACGTCAGGGTGGGTGGTCTGGAAGGTTGAGATCGGATGGCACCTTGACAGGCTGGTGGAAGCCGATTTGATAACAACTTTTAAAAGAGAAATAGATAGATATTTGGGGAGGACAAGTTTGCAGGGCTATAGGGAGAGAGCGGGGGAGTGGGATTGATTTGGAAGCTCTTTTCAAAGAGCCGGCACAGGCACGATGGGCCGAATGGCCTCCTTCTGCGCTGTATAATTCTGTGAAGGGCCTTGTTCATTCAAAGTAAATCTTGTAAAGTTTGTGTCATTGAGGGCTGTTAAACAGTGGGCAGTGGATTTCGGAGTTCTGCTGGAACTACCGAAATCTCGAGGTTATGTCAAGAGCAGGTCGTCTTGTGATAAGCGCAAAGGTTCAACTTGCACTTGGATACGACTCAATCAGCACGAATATCAGCCTGGGTACAGCCGCAGCATTATTTTATTGGGCTGTTAGAATGCATTCAGGTTGCCCTGTGACAGATAATTTACGGCAGCCCTTACGTGACCATTTAAAACAGGGCAACTCGCAGTTGATCATCTTGATAGAAAACTCTGGCAGAGGTCCTTCTGAGAACTTCCTAGGTTAAACAGATTAGCTTCGTGAAACTTATCCTGGATCAACCATACAAATTGTTAATTATGTATCCCTAATAACTGGAACTCCCCTGGCACTCTCCAGTTCTTCAAACGTTCTACTGAATTGTTTTGTGGATAACAGTCTTCCTGAAACACATTAATAATACCCCTAATCAGTCTGTCATGATCTAGGACGTCCCAAGATGCTGGACATTCAGGGATTTGGACCCGAGCTAGCGGTCGGGATGGGGTAGGGAGAGAGAGGCAAGGGAGGGAGAGAGAGGCAAAGGGAGGGAGAGAGAGGCAAAGGGAGGGAGAGAGAGGCAAAGGGAGGGAGAGAGAGAGGCAAGGGAGGGAGAGAGACAGGCAAAGGGAGAGAGAGAGAGGCAAGGGAGGGAGAGAGAGAGGCAAGGGAGGGAGAGGCAAGGGAGGGAGAGGCAAGGGAGGGAGAGAGAGGCAAAAGGAGGGAGAGGCAAAAGGAGGGAGAGAGAGGCAAGGGAGGGAGAGAGAGAGGCAAGGGAGGGAGAGAGAGGGGAGAGGCGAAGGGAGGGAAAGAGGCGAAGGGAGGAAGAGAGAAGCAAAGAGAGGGAGGGAAAGAGGCGAAGGGAGAGAGAGGAGAAGGGAGGGAGAGAGAGGCGAAGGGAGGGAGGGAGAGGCAAAGGGAATGTGGGATGGAGTTACATAGGGTGGGGCAGAGAGGCTGAAGGCCTGACGGCTGATGGTGGGGAGGGCTGAGCGGAGGGAGCGGACAGGTTGACACGGGATCAGCAGGTTGCAGAGGTAAGGAGGAGGCCGTGCGGAGCCTTGAAGGCGAGGATGAGAAGTTTGAAATCTATCCTCCGGGGGGTGGGGAGCAAGTGGAGCCGGGCGAGGGTGGGAGAGACGGGGTCACGGAGTAGGTGCGGGAGAGGACACGAGCTGCAGAGATCCGGATGGTCTGCAGCCTGTGGCGGGAGGAGTTGGGGAGGCCGACGAGCAGGGAGTTGGCGTAGTCGAGCCTGAATGAGTTGTAAGTGTGGATGAGGGTTATTATAATTATTATTATTATTAAGTTTAATGAGGAAGAGAGATCCAGCACCGAGGAACATGGAATATTTCCAATTCGCAACCCATTTTATTGTCAAGTCATCCAAAAGGACACATGCAACCACTAGCAAATTCAGACTTGCACACACACCTCCCCCCTCCCCCCCCACCACCCAAAACACACCCACACACTGAACAAGACAGCTATTGGCCATTTCACTCATTATTAATAATAATAATAATAATCCTTGCATTTGATATAGCGCTTTTCACGTCGGGAGGACGTCCCAAAGCGCTTCACAGAACACACTGTAAAGTGAATTGACTGTATATTTGTGGGCGAACGAGGCAGCCAATTGCGCACAGCAATGTCCCACAAAAAGTCGTAGATTGAAAATGACCAATTTATTATTGTTTTTAGTTTTGGAGGGATTATTATTAGGCTCTGTGTGGAGTAAGGAAACTTGTCCAAGGTTTCGCCCTCTGCCTGGAATTGAACTCAGGTCTCTCGCTTGCAAAGCGAGTGCTGTAACCACTGAGCCACAGGACTCCACAAATGCTCAATACCTTTCCAATTCACAACGGTAATGTTAGGGAAGTACTAAGTCATGAATAACATTGTAATAATAACCCTTGCATTTGATATAGAGCTTTCCACGTCTTTGAGACGTCTCAAAAAGCTTCACAGAATATGCTGTAAAGTGAATTGACTGTATTTTGTCGACGAAATACATTGTAAAAAAAATATAAAAACAAACACGTATTAGGTGAAATAGACTTTCGGGCACAACTCTTACAACTCTACGCCACGTAGGAAAAGTGGCTGCTTTGTGAGCGTTGTCCGCGTGCCAAGCCATCGCTAAAAGGACAAGTGTAAATCAGGTTGAGGAGAGAAACAGGGAAACAATTCAATCTGCAGCCCCGCTGCCAAGCCCACCTTGAAGAAGTGGTTTCAGATGCAACAGCAACTCAGGGGAAACATCAGCACATCAATTCTGCACTGCTGCAGCATAAATACAGGTGGTGGAAATGGTTTCAGGCTTCGCACCGAAATGATCCTTGACGTTTCAATGCATTTCAGTTCCAATGTAATTAGGAGCAGGAGGTATAAATCAGGCTACCTGATTCTAATGGCTTTACTGCTGCAAGTGATATCGCTTTGCCTTCCAGCAGTTTAAAAAAAAGGTCATTAAGTGCAACACTATTTCTGTATTCACATATTGATTTCTATACATAAAGTAGGTCAAAACCACATAACTCATTCGTTCATTCATTTATTCACTGTCTACAAGGAAATATCTACAAGACATTTTGAGTTATTGAAGTTGAAAGTAGTAGTTAGATACTCATATGAGCCGTAACCTCCCCACAAGCCGCTCCAGATTCCAGAGAAAGCAGCCACTGAGTTTGTTAAGGATCAAGCGAAGTTCCCAAAACCGATCCTAAATGTCTACCTTTTACTACAACAACAATTTGTATTTATCTTGCGCCCTTTATGCGGGGCAGCATCTCGGAGCGCTTAACAGTGGCGGAGCCTGACTCCAAGCCGGTGACCGCAAGCACAGTCAAAAAGGAGAGTATTCAGTCGTGACCTAAGAGGACTGAAGGAGGGGGCGAGGGAGAGGGATTGGAGAAGAGTTCCAATGTTTCGGGGGGTAGTGGCTGAAAGCGCGGAATTGGCTGAAACCTACGAAATACAACTTGGGTTGAGATAGCACCCTTCATGCAGGATAGTATCTTGGAGCATTATTATAGGATTATTATTATTACTGATCAAGGGCAAGGTTGGACACCCAGCAAGGGCGAAGGGATTTCTTAAGGACACACAACTCTTAAGAGCAATAAAAAACACACGAGATCGCCGGGAACGCTCAGCAGGTCAGGCAACATCTATGGAGAAAGGAAAGTGCGTCAACGTTTCGGGTCCACGACCCTTCGTCAGAATAGAACCCTGAAAGCAATAGCCGTCTGAGTTAGCGTGAAACACTTGCATAGGAGCTAAGTGAATAAGTACCAGTCGTCAACTCATCTTTCTCTTCAAACTCACCAAAGTGCAGTTGCTGTTGGCAGAGATGCACTTCTTATCCTCGCACCACTGGCACCCGTTCGTATTAGCAGTGCAGCTGGCACACTCTGTGTACCTGAAACATGTGCCATCCGTAGCAGCTGCAACATAAATCAGCGGCAAAATTAGTCATTCCTGCGAAGGAGCTGCAAAGCGAAGGTTTAATCCGTGGGCGCAAGGCTATTCTTGCCAAATCATCGAGTGTCCTTGTCAGCGTGCGTGCCCAGGTGTGCCGTTTAGCAAAAATAGTGGGCGACTAATTAACAAGTCTGCAGACACCAACAGGACAGTTACGCACCCCACAATTATTGCGTTAGCAGCTCTTCCCCTCCGCCTGATACCTTTCAGGAGTTTGCGACCTTGGCAATGATCAATGTTCACCCTCCTTTAAAAACATAGCTGAGCAGGAGAATTAAGAGTGAGCATTCCTTAAACACCACAATGGGAAGGATTCCTTCCCCACGAACCACCATGATGAAGGATTGAGAACCTCAGCAATACAACTGCTGCTCAAGAAAATATACCCTCACAGGCTGCTCAAAGTCGCTGAAAAAATAAACTGCTCACTGCCAAGAGACACTCCAAAAAAAATCCTTGTCTTTGATACAGCGCCTTATCATGTCTTCGAGACGTCTCAAAGTGCTTCGCAGAGGATACTGTAAAGTGAACTGACTGTATATTTGCTGTGGGCGAAACACGGCAGCCAATTACGCACAGTAGTGTTCCTCAAACAGTTGTGGATTGAGGGGCCAATTTTTTTTTAAGGAATTATTACCTCTGGAAAATCGATCTATCAATCAGCTAACAACTGAGTTCCTACTTACGGCTGGTAAACAGAGGTGTGTGGAGTAAGGAAACTTGCCCAACACTTCGTCCTCTCGTTTGCGAGGCGAGTGCTCTAACCACTGAGCTACAGGACTCCACAACGCTCAGTTGGTCAGCAACAACCATCTCACTCTGGAGAAGAAAAATCGCTGGCAAAGTGAAGCAGAAGCCGGGTTAGCGAGTCTGGTGACTAATCTAGGTTTCCCTGCAGCTTTACAGGAAAGACTTGATCCATTGAGGTCGCAGGGCAAAGAGAAAATAAATAAACCTGACAATCAATCTCCAGACCATCAGGTGAAACCTTTGTGGGAGCACGAGTGTCTTATTTTTAAACCACTTCTTTGTCAACCTGCCCATTCAGCTCTTAAGCAGCAAAAGATGGCTGATGACTTGTGAAAGCACGGATTGGTATCTCGGTCTTTGATAATGATCTCGAGACATCAGTAATGCAGGTATAGAGGATCCTGTTGATCACTTTCGAAGGAATCTTTGGAGCTTCACACCAGCAGATTGGTCGGCAGGATTATCCGGTCACAGCAAGTCATTATCAGTAGCAGACCGGGTAAACTCGAATGGAAAAAATAATACAAATTTTAAGGAACGTTGACTCAAAAGTACATTTAACTGTTGATAACTGCATCGATCGTGTCCAAGGCTACGTTTCAAACTTGGTGCATTGACCTCAGCACTTCTGGGCATCACAGTTCATTGATTCAGCATTTACGATTTAAAATGGGTAATAACCAAAGTTTGTTGTCCAAAAAAAAAGCTGTTACAGAGATTCAAATACTCTATCCTCGGTGTGCCTGAGGCATTGGATTGCTCTTCATACTATTGTAATATCTTTGTAAACTACTACAACACTTATTCTCTGGAGAGCTAAGACAAGATGAGCAGATGACATTTCCAGAACAAACCACTTAATAAAGGCAAACGTAATCCATGGTGGTGCAATAGGATCAATTGCTTACTCAGTCGCTCTCTCAGCTTTAGAGCTTTATTAAGGCGAGGGAATAAAAATAAAGTAGGAACAAACTGTAGGAAATAGCTAAAGAAAAGGTCAAGCCTGAACAAAAAAACACCTTACATTGGTTAAATCGAGGTCCGTAAAGGTCTCAATACATCTTTACATTTTACCTGGAGGTTTATTTTATCTAAGAGGCAACTACTTCTGTTCTCCTACAAAAAGTACATTGATATATGGTTTTCCCTTAATCACAAAGCCACTGCATGGCAACAAAACTGAGGCTGACGTTCACTTCAACCTCCACCTCCCAACTGTTAATAGGTTTTATAAAACAAATTATACTTTGAAGACTTCCACGCTACGTCTCTTCGTTTTCTTGCAAAGTTTTAAACACTGGAGGGTTCATCCTGCGAGTCAACTTTTGTATTGTTTGAACGATTTTTATATGGATTATTCAAATCAAAAAGGACCTGAATGGGGTGGGGTGGGGTGCAGTGGGCGGAGAGGGGGGGGTGCAATTTATGCACAAGCTGAAAAACTACTTCAGATTTGTGTGGTTTTTTTTTTTAAAAATGCAGGATTCACAAATTTGCCAGAATTTGCCATTCATTAGAAGCACAATTATTACAGTGGAATAGTGGGCTTTTCCCTAGAAGATCCCAATTACTCCTCTTTTGCTTGTTTTCTCAGAAACTCATGCATTTTCCATTTCACACTTCCTCCACAATGTTGCTGTCCCAAATGAGAGATGCTAAATGTTGCAGAGCCTAATAATTAAAACATGAGAACAGGAAGCAGGTCTCCTCCAATAAAGTTCTATAAACCTAATTAATCCTTCCCCACCCAAGAGGATTTCTATCTGTGGAACATTGACTTCTGGGCTCACGCTTTCATCTGCCCCAATTCAAGACGATTTAGAGTGTACGCTACACGTCAGGTTTCTCACTCCAGGTTGCCACATCTCTCTCCTGATATTATAAATGCAGCATCTGTGTCTAGTTTTTTTTTTGCAGTCAGCCAGGTGTCTGATCCACACGTAAACCCGGCAGCATGCTTTAAGAGTATCCAAACCAGACCGAGGGTTCCACCTATGTACCGGACTTACACGTGAACATTTCAGAGCGTTGAAATTTAGCCAGCTAAAAATCACAGAGCTTACCATCGAGTGCAAGAGTACCAAGCTCATGACTTTATGTACATATATTATATATAAAATAGATTTATATAAGTCATCAACGACAACTTGCACTTATATAGCGCCCTCCATGCAGGGTAGCGTCTCAGAGCGCTTAGCAGTGGCGGAGCCCGACTCCGAGCTGGGGGGGAGGGGGCAGGTGGCCGTAAGCGCGGTCGAAGAGGGAAGTCTTCAGGCGGGACTTGAAAGAGGGGAGAGAGGGGGCAAGGCAGAGGGATTGAGGGAGAGTGCTTCAGAGTTTTAGGGTGTAGTGGCTGAAAGCGCGACCTCCGATGGTGGGGCGGAGGGTGTAAGGGAAGAGAGGAGGCCGATGCCCGTCGAGCGGAGGCGCTGACCAGGTGGTGGGTTGGGGAGTGAGGAGGTCGGAGAGGGAGGGAGGTGCCAGAGAGTGGAGGGATTTGAACACGAGTGTGAGGATCTTGAAGTCGATCCGTTCGGTGATGGGGAGCCAGTGGAGCCTGGGCTGGTGAGATGTGGGTTCGGAGCTTGGTCCTGGTCAGTATGCGGGCAGTAGTTCTGAATGAGCTGATCTTGTGCATGGTGGAGCTGGGCAGACCGGCATACTGGAGTCTACCTACAGTAGTGTAATAGTCCAACCCCACTGGGAACTGAGCTGATCGAGACGAGGACGCACTCTCTTTGGTTACCTCACCGTTTAGCCAGCAAATGGGCGCATCAGGCTTAAGAGTCCCTTCGAGTCACAACACCAACACGTCACCAAGGACACGCTTTGAAGCCCTCTCATGCAATTTGAAGCGAGTCAGCTGTCTATCTGTGGATTTGTCTACAATCGTGATATAAACCACCTCTTGGAGAGACAAAGCACATTGTAACAGCAGTTCTACTGTGTTCACCTCTCCCCATTTGAAGTGATTGGATTTAAATTCTCTTCCCCCCCCAACCTCCCAATGCAGAAAATGACCAATGCTGCAAAAGACATATAACACAAGAACGGTCATGTGCAGATTGATAGTTGAGAATATTCTGAAGCAAAGGGTGAAATGAAACTAAATGGAATGACTCTGCCAAGGTTGCTCCTTTTCAAAGCATTTGCTGTTGTCATCTGTAAACTGAGGTAATTACAAAAAATGTGGAACAAAATTGGTAGCGGGTAGAAGGGAGAGGATGCAAACACCCATCTGCCTAATACTTACATTTCTTTGGGTGACATTTCACCTTGTGGGAGCTACTATTAGCGAAGCCCAGATCCCAGGGAACGCAGTGATTCTTGTACCACAAACACCTTATGCCTGAACCCGCATTTAAACAGAGATCTTCTTTGAAGGCCTCGCAATTTGGAGGTTTATATACAAGGACGTCATTTAAAAGCATACTGGAGAAACCACCAAACACATACATAGACCTAGGGAAGAGAAGAGAAGGGGTGGGGTGGGGGAGATAGAATAAAAAATAAAGCAAGATTAATTTAATATGTACGAGCTTCAGATATGTTTCATTGTTAATTTAATGTTATGAGCTATAATGATACAGGCTTAAAGTTGATAGCAAGATTCGAAATGTTTTACCGAAGTGGGTAGGACTTTCTGACAGAATTAATCACAAGAGAGGTTCAGTTGAAGAGGCTTCTGTCAACTGTTTGATCTCAGCCTATCAGGTACTGAATGAATAAAGACTTGGCACGTCTCACGTTGAATTAGGGGTGACCACAAGATCGGTTCAGATGAAGAACGCTCTTCAGCCTATGTGATAATAATCCTATACAATAATAACAATAATAATCCTTGCATTTGATACAGCGCCTTATCACGTCTCAGAGACCTCTCAAAGCGCTTCACAGAATACACTGTAAAGTGAATTGACTCTATAATTTGTGATCTCATTCTAGCAGAACACCCAGCCTACCATCTTCCCATCACAGCATCGGGCTTTTTTTTTATTAAATGAATCCAGTGCCCTGACCTCAATCACCCTTCCAGCCAACCTAACTGTCTTGTTGCATCTTAAATTATAATTGAACTGCGTTTACTTTTTCAATCACATTTGACACTTTGTACACCTCTGTACAGTCTTCCGAGACATCTTCTCTCAGACGAAAGAGCTCTATCTTGTTTAACCATTGCTCATGGTTCATTCCTCTAACAATCGGAATCATCCTTCTTGCTCTCCCTACACAGGAACAGGAGTAGGCCATTCAGCTCATTGAGCCTGTTCCACCATTCTATTCGACCATGGCTGATATGTACCTCAACTCCTTCCTTGTCTCCTTTCAAGGCCCGTCTCCACACCCTCCTCTTCGACCGAGCCTTCAGCTACCCTCCAACCCTTACCCTCCCTGCCCTCCACCCTCCCTGATCCCAACCACACACCCCCACCACCCCTCATCTCTCGCCTGAGTCCAAATCTCCGACTGTTCAGCACCTTAAGCCGTCCTCCCGACACGAAAGGCATTATATAAATGTAATTTGGTATTGTATTTTGTATTATATCCCTTGATAACCTAACTTAACAAACATCTATCCACCTCTGTCTTGAAAATGTGACTGAATCCAACCGTCTCTAGCGCCTTATGCCATAGAGACCAGAACTTAGCTGAAAAGTTACAAAATTTCCCACCAACCATCCAACCTACTTAGAGCCAATTTCATTCACACGAGTTCAAAAGAGATTCTGGGAGTAGGTTACATTTTTATTGGTTCTGGACTAGAATTTCATTTGAGTATTAACTAGAACAACAATTAAGAGGTGAAAATGAAACTTTTCAACAACAAAAAAATCTCAGTAAAGTGAAACTGATATGAAACAGAGAAGTAAACGTAACTGCTGGACTTACCCATTGCTTACTACTGCTGAGTGCCCAAATCTATTCACATCACGATGCAAATTGGGTTTTGGAAGCACTTCCCATTCATCGCAAGCTAGATAAAGGACAGATTTCGTTACATCGAAAAGCATTAGCAAAAGTTCACACACAAAAAAAATCAATAGCAAATGACTTCAAAGTCACTCTTGAAATGATTCCTGTTAAAACGGAGCATTGGTTTGTCGGACGCCTGTTGGGTTTCAAGTTCAAAGTTTTAATTTCGCACCGCAACAAGATAAGCTGCTGAAATACACAAACCCAGTGAAAAGAGTAAAAGACTCTTAAATCAAGAACCACTTCATGAAATATAAATCTTGTACTGAAGTGGATAGAGCTAATTGAAACTACCGCAGCTCCATTGAAAACAAGAATAAAACGCACAGAAGATGCCATGTAACATCCCAGCAGTGCACGGCTGCAGAAAACCCAATCTTAAAAGGAATGTCACTTTCCCTAAGTTGAGATGGTTTACTTTTAGTCTTTCAGCCTTTGCTATTTTCCGAGAACGTTATCGCAACTCTCTTTCCGAAGCTTTAATAAAGTGCTGAAAAGAACGGTCCCTCCTTCACAACCTTCAAACGCATACTTTCCCCTAACAACAGGTTTGGTGGATTAAAAGATTGAGGGTCGTTTGAAAACGTTAGCAAAGACATTGACACCCTTTGTGCGTTTCAACGCGATTGAAATATTGGGTATTTTAGAAAATTACACAGAACAGGATAGCTTAGAAACAGGTCATTCAGGTGAACAAGTCTGTGCTGGTGTTTATACTCTGCTTAATAATAATAATCCTTGCATTTGATATAGCGCTTTTCACGTCTTCTAGACATCCCAAAGCGCTTCACAGAATATACTGTAAAGTGAATTGACTGTATACTTGGGGACGAACGCGGCAGCCAATTGCGCACAGCAGCGTCCCACAAACAGTCATGGATTGTATCATAGAATCATACAGCACACAAAGAGGCCATTTGGCCAATCGAGTCTGTGCCGGCTCTTTGAAAAGAGCAATGTAATGTAAATAATACATTGTAAAGTGAATATACTTTGTGGGTGAAAGTATTCACAAATGCACAGTAAGTATAACAGTATTTTTTGAGCTGAATCAGGATTTGAGAGAACCAACCCACTCTTTTTTAGTAATATGGAGCCTTGCACATCAGGAGAACATTGCAAAGTGATGTCCTGTAAAGTGTAGTGCCTTTGTATTTTCGTAGTTTGAATTTTTTTGCACAGCCATGAAGCGAAGGGAGAAGATTCCTTCTCTTTTTCAAATTAACTTCCACTTGAACAGGCAAACGGGGCTTCGGTTTCGCGTCCCATAATAATAATCCTTGTATTTGATATAGCGCTGTTCACGTCTTTTAGATGTCTCAAAGCGCTTCACAGGCTATACTGTAAAGTGAATTGACTGTATATTCTGTGGGCGAAACGCGGCAGCCAATTGCGCACAGCAGCGTCCCACAAACAGTCGTGGATTGAGTAACCAAACTATTATTGTTTTTTTTCTTGAGGGATTATTATCAGGCGTGCGGAGCAAGGAAACTAAGGTTTCGTCCTGCCGGGAATCGAATCCAGGTCCTTTCGCTTGCGAGGTGAGTGCTCTAACCACTGAACTACAGGACTCCCATGCGAAGGACAAGAATGCAAATACAGAAAATACAATATTATGGTTTTAATATTCAACTTGGAACGCAGAGTGTTGTTCAGAGATCGCTTTGCATTCCTCTTACAGGAGAGCAAGTGACTCGACAGGATCCAACGTTTAAGCTTCCGAGCACGAGCTAATTATTGAAGCTGCATGGACACACACTGGGTCAACGAGGGTATTCTCATATAAACAATACAGCACACCTTAATGACAACTTCCTGGAGATTCTGTTATTATACATGGGATTAGAAAAGCTATAATTTGAACTCCAACGGATACACTGTCAGTTGAAGTCTCTTCGGAAATCCTGTGGTTAGTTGGCAAATTTCTGAACACCATTATAAGGTAATTAGACGTAACTTGCTTCCTGACTTCAAGGCATCAAATACCATTCATACATCCAATACACGCTTCATATCCCTCGATGACTGACGTGACTTATGATGGTGTTACTAATGCTCCGCAGAGCTGTGGGAACATTGACTGAAACTTTTCTGGCCCAGCCCCAAAATATTCCTTTACCAGAGAAACATTCTGAATGATTCTCTCCCCCCCACTCGCCCCACTGTCAAAACAATGGCTTATATAATGCACCGTATTTTGCCTTTGAAGTCGCAGTGACACTTTTACACGTCCACAATTCACCTGCCCGCGACAAGTAGCAATAGAAAGCAACTCAAGCAGAACGTTTTTTTCTAGATCTCCAAAGGCAGGCAGAGTTTTATTACCCCGTGCTTTATAATGACATTCATTCAAATCTACAAACATCCTGTGTTCAAATTTTAGAGGAGGTTATAAAGCAATCCAGATGAAATCCTTTGAATGCAAATAATAATCCTCGCACTTCTTATAGCACCTTCGGTGTCAGGAGGACATCTCAAAGGGCTGCACAGGATTTAGTGTAATGTCCAGTGACTGTGAATATTTGCAGACGAATGAGGCAGCTAACTTGCCCCCAGCAATGCCCTACTAATATCCACGTTAGCAGCAGCCAAAAGTGGTAGATGGGGTGCAGGTCAGATACCCCATGAGCACCCACTGGTGGGTTGGAAATCCACCCATCAGCCAACAGGGAAAAACAAGGCTTAATCCCGGAGAGGACAGGTTGGTATGAAGGTGGGGGTTGGTGGAAGGGATTATAAACGGTATTCCCACCAATGCCAAGTCCGTGGAGGAGAGTTGGGTCGAGAGCACAGCTGTAGGGCTGTTCATCCCCCCTGCAGGGGAAAAGAAAAATTGGGAGTTTCTCATGATTTGATTATCAAACAGTGTGATTTTCATCCCAAGTGAGCCTTTTGTTCGCACAAACCGACAGGTTAACACTCGCGGATTACTGCAGCTTTAACAGCCTAATGCTGGAGGTGGTGTGACTTTTTTTTGTTTAATGAATATCCCCCAAAAATCAGTGTTTTACAATCCGAAATCCACCACCTGGTGATGAAATGGGTTAGAAAAGCTTTCCTTTTTGCCTCTGGACTCTGGGTCTGAATCAAGTTAAAGAAATACAGAGGGGAAGTCAATTTCCAAATGATTGCTAAGGTTCCTGACGGCAGTCTCAGCCTATTTCAATGAATAAGATTGGCAAAAACTGCCTTCAATCAAGGAAACCACGGGTACCGACAAACACAATACTTTGTCATTCTTTAGGGGCAGTAGTTTTAAGCTGCTTTGTTGTGATAATGAAGCTGTAGCTCACAATACATCCTTGTTTCCTTCTCTGAATGTAACATTCGACTCACAGCAACTGCAGTGTTATTCACACTATTCTTATAATTAAAATCTCGCACAGGCAATTCATAGTCCGCCAGTCTCAAAGACAAATTGAAGCCAAATGATGTGTTATTTGGGACAAACGAGAGTGTTTATCCACACAACCAGGCATTTATTTTTTTAAAAAAAACATTTCAGTTTCAATTACTGTCATTTGCATTTCCTGTTGCTTTCGAAGCGTTTGCTTTGGGTTTTATCCTTTTATTAGTGGTGGGGTGGGGAGGAAGAGAGAGAGAGAGAAGTTAATTGCTGTCTGCAATGTGCAAAGCACAACATTATGGCTACAGTACCGTAAAATCATCAAATTACAATGCGCAACAGCTGCGGATAAAACTCTCTAAACTGTCGCATGCTTACAAAGCTCTGTTCTAACTGTCCATTTGGAACAATTTGATGGCAGTCGCTTGTATTTCACGCCAAGTTTGCAGGCCAACCGAGGATAAGTCAGAGGTGCAGCAGCTTTGCTGCCTCAAGAGTATAAAACCCAGAGGTCTGTGGCTTGAGAACCAGTAAGGGCTTATAAATTGTAACCCAGGTTACACCGAACTGAAAGAGAGCGGAGGGTATACTTGGATATGTGGCAGCTAATCCTAGCCCTCCATTGCACTCCACTGGTCTACGTGAATACTGCATGGAGTCCAGATGGAGAGTGTCTACATTTTGCCAATACCATTCCAGCTGATATCTGCTGTGGAACCCTGTAGGGTAATGGTTGGAGCACTCACCTCGCAAGCAAGAGGACCCGGGTTCGATTCCCAGGCTCAGGCAAGGTTACTTACTCCACTTACTCAGCAGTAAGTAGGAACCCGGTTGTTAGTCAATTGGCAGATCGCTTTCTGGGGGTAATAATTCCTTCAATCAATCAATCAAATAATAATTTGGTCACTCAATGTACGACTGTTTGCAGGACACTGCTGTGTGCAATTGGCTGCCGTGTTTCGCCCACAATACATAGTCAATTCACTTTACAGTATATTCTGTGAATCTCTTTGAGACGTCTCAATGACGTGATTTGGCACTATATCAAATGCAAGGATTATTACTATTCAGGAAAATACCGATTCTTCCAAAATTTATGCTAAATTTTCCACTCCTGGAGTATAAACACTGGCACGGACTAGTTGGGCCGAATGGTCCGTTTCGTTGTACGAATGCTTCTCGTACCCTTGCATTCAACAAATTTAAGAGGTTTATAAGAAAGGTGGCACGTTTTTAAAAAAAATCAGTAAACTATGGATTTGATACAGTGCTTTAACGTGGTCAACATCGCAAAGCTTGGTCACAGGATTTTACTGTGAAGTGTAGTGACTGTGTACTTTGTAGTCGCTTGTCAAATTATGGACGTTAAAAATCCAGTGGTGCTATTTAAAAAGAGAAGGGAGTTTCTCCCCGTGTCCTATCCAACAATCCCCCACACATATATATATTAATTTAAAAAATCATTAACTTTTTAGCTGCTTGTCGTACACTGTTGTGCGCAAATTGGCTGCTGTGTTCACCTGCAAAATACACAGTCACTACAGTTTACAGTAAAATTCTGTGACCCTACTTAGAGATGTCAACCAAGTGTAAAGTGAATGTAAAGATTATTATTTTAAATGCTGCCTTTCTTATAATAAGAATCCTTGGATTTG